AGTAATGAGATATGTCAATATCGGTCTATCAAAACTTCGAAGGCGGCTGAACTCAGAAATGTGGAACTTTCACAAACCTTCTCCTTGCCTTTTTTTCTACGAAAAAAAGCTTTTTTCAACTGGAGTATGTAATGGCAACGAGGCGGTGAACAGTACACGGGTCTAGGCAAGCAACAGGTGTAACATCCAAGGTGGAACGTACAATTTCCAAGATTACTTGAATTGTGCTCGAGATTTGAAAACCTTTTGAAAAATACATGACATCTCTCAAAATCAGGTGCAGACCTTCGGGGGGTTAAGGTCGGCCTTTGGAGTGGCTTCTGGCTGTTCTTCTTTGTCGACCCACTGCCGCTTCCTCTCAGGGTTATTTTAGAGGACCCACTTCTCATCTCCAGTGATCATAGAGTTAAGAAACTGAAGCTTCTTTTCGGAAGTGAGGAAAGGAGTGCAGTTAGCAGCAGGCGTGGCTTATGTAAATGCTAGACACAGAGCGTTACATCTTCAAAGCTCAGATCACGATAGACATGGTTTCTCAGATTTCTTCATCCATCAGATGTGTACGTGATCCCAAAAGAAAGCGCCTTTTAAGGTTCCTTATCAGCCTCCATTAGTTGTTATGATTTCCTGTCACCTATCGTCAGTGTTCACATTAGTGCACGGAAGGCGATGTTACAATCGTTGATTGCAAGGCTATAATCATATAATATAAATAGACGATAAAAAATAGCAGGTTAAAAGGTTGGTGCGGCGTTTTCCGCCAAGTCAAAAAAGAAGAAAACGTAACGGTAATTTATAAGTTAACGATAGACAGCATAGTTTTCATTTTCACATTCTGCCACCCCTGTATCCCTTCCCGCTCCAGAAAGACAGGAGCCATGATTCGGTCAACCACACACAAAAGCACACACACCTAAAAACCAACAAACGAACTTTCCGAACTGTATGTCGTAGGATAACAATTATGGAGAACGATCCTACTATAAATAATTCGCCGAATGTGTCTTTTGGTTTGCCGGAGTGTTTGTGTGTGTGGCGGTGTGTGTGTTTGTCTCAAATTTATAACTCCTTTTCCCGTGGACTTAGAGAGGAAAGGAGTGCGGGCGGCAGGAGGCAACACTCATGGCATGTAGCAGGACAGACTCCGCTCACAGGGGGCGGGGCGTGCGCGATAGAAACTTTCGACCGCTAATTCATAGCCCTGTTACGTGGACCTAGAGCATTGAAATTTGGTAGGAATACAGGCGGCAGGACGGGAACATTGATGATAAGTGGTAGAGATGATAACAATTGAAAGTAGCTGAAAAAGTGTTGTAAAAGGCAATGGCGCAGGATCCGTTACCTCCTTCGTGTCAACAGGGGGCGAGAAGGCGAGAGCCATTAGGTCTACATCGTCTTTCATATTGACAGTGGAGCGCTTCAGAAGGCGGTGTGGGATGTAAAGGGACCAAAGGTGATTGGTGACGAGGACTGATAGCAAACGGGCAAGGACTGACAAAGAGCATAGAAGGCTAGAGTAGCTAAGATTGTAATCCTCTTCGCGTCAGCAGTGGAGCCTTGGCATTTTAATAGGTGATGTAGGATGTGACGTAGTCGTACCTATTCTGTGACAGGGACTAATAACAACTAATAAGAGCTGATAAACGGCCTTAGAGAGCAAGAGCCACTCACCAATTGAATCTTAACGGCTTTGGTATTCACGGTCAAACATTGTCTCTAATAATATGTTTCCTTCATTAATGCGGGTAAATGCAGTGATAGGAACCGATCATAGTCATTTCTCCATAATCATTTCTTGCTATTAGACTACGACCACTACCCAGCGGGATTTGTGAGTCAACAAAGTATCAAGGCTTTTTTGTTTTGGTATCATTCGTGACAGAACTTATCCGACTGCAGATAATCTGGGTTTCCCAATTAATGATGAATTCCAAAAAAAAAAGTTCCACTGATAAAGACATTTGGTGATGAGCGTTATTACCACTCGGCAACATTTGTGAGTACCACTCAAGGCTTGGTTTCCCAACAGTTCAATCATCACTTTTAAAGGCACCGTTCACTATAAAAAAGTTATTGAGTTCTTACCTTATTAACACTCAGCGGCACCCATGGGTTGTAGAAGGGACTCTCTCACTCCCCCAATCTCGACGTCCAGGGCNAGCCCCGTTATTGCCGTAGTTCGCGTACCCGCCCCTCGGTCGATGAGAAGAATAGTAGCAGTACAGCAGAATAATAGCAAGAAGAAATCCGATCAGATGTTTGAGTGTGTTGTCTGCAATTGCAGACATTGCGTCGCCTTCGTGCACTCGCCCGAACACTTCCTAACTGCCGTTCCTTCAATGTGAAACTCGTCCAACCCCCCTCTCCAGCTCTTTTTTGACCCTTTGTATTTCTTTTTGTTCATCGTTTTTTGCGCTTTTTTCGTTGTTATCGCTTTATTCTAGAGTAGTTCTACCAATTCCCGTCAAAAAGGTACCCTAAATTTATCGTGAACGGTGCCTTTAAGATAAGGAGCAACAGACAGAGACTTCTAATCATAGGCGTGATGACATCGGCATGCACTGGATATCTTTTGCACTGCCCTGTTAAAGGCACAGTTCACGATAATTTTGAGGTACCTTTTTAGGATTGAGAAGCGGAAGTGTTGATGTAGAGGAGTACATCGAAGAGAGCAAGAGAATCCGCCCACTTCGAGCTTTTAAAAGTTATGGAAATGGGGGTTGTACGAGATTACTGCGACAGGAGTGCGGTTTTTGGACGAGATTTAACATGCTCCCATCGGAAGAGCAAACAGCTGATTACTTAAAACCATGACTGTCCAGAGTAGCCTTTCACTGTAGATATGCGTCATGACAAGTTGTTTGAACTGCCTACTTTGGTCTTTATGAGTGGTGCAGCCTCTACCAAGCCGTTGAAACTCGCCCACTAGGGGTGTGGTATTCACATGATCCAATCTCTTGATCTTATTGTGCCCTATCCAGAACGGTTTTCGCCCCTGTAAAGACTGGTACGGTATGAAGGGGAGCCTCGAATTCATACTATAGGGGAATCTCAGGAACCATTTTTATCGTGAACTAGGCCTTTAGGTCTGTGTCAAATTTCGGGATCTGGAAAGAATGATCATTTATTCTGAAGTAGGAGGGGCGCATTAGCCGATTATCACAACTTTGTCACAAGAGGAGGAAAACCAGGCGATGGCTGGGCGATTCCACCGGTAAAGAATAAATGACGAAATGAAAAGCAAAAACTTGGTTGGCAGGAGCAAGCTGCAGTTGTGACGTTATAAATGTGAAAGCAACTCATAAGAGCAAGCATCAGCTATCTCCGAAGGAGGAAGTGGACCCAACCGAATAGGACGAGAAAGCTGATGAGTAGATATTAAGTGAGCTGATTAGTCCGAAAAAGCTCCATGTCACGCGATTACATAATGCCAGTAAGCTTCACGAAAGTGAGGTGAAAGTCCTTTTGATAAACTGAGTGGAAACGAAGAACGTGGTATCGGCAGACTACGTCGAATGGCGAAATGAGTTATGTAACACCCCGTATACTCACACAAGATCACAAATTGAATTGGTGACAATATCCAAGTTCTAAATTGTAAGTACTAGCTGTGATTATTTGCAGCGTTTGGTCTCCCACGGTTGGCGAGTTATAGACAAAACACTGATCTCGGACCGGACTCGAATTCGTATTTGTGGCTAGCCGGGCACCGTGCTCTCTCTCGTCCCTTACGCTAGCGAGACCCTCTGCATTAGCCATTTAAAAGGCGAGGACTAGCTGGGTCAGGGTAGAGCAAGGGACAAGAGCACGGTGACCGGTTATCACAAGAACGGCTTCAAGCCGCGTCCGTGGCCGAAGTTTTGCCCATAACTCGCCGGACCTTGTCGAACTTTCGTATCCCATACTGCGGCGAAATAATAGCAGCTGAAAAGGCATCAGTTCTTTAACGTTTAACCTTTGAATAATACTCATGCGTCTCAGCGTGAACCTGCGGTAAAATCGCGATTATCCGAAAAATATGGATTTCTCGCGTAGGCATATTACGTCAACTCTTTACGACCAGATTCCATCAAAGCTGTTGCAACAGTAGAGCAGACAACTACAAGTAAGGGGAATGCCTCTACCGTCCGTTCTATTGACGGCTGTTTAATTTATTTTGATAAAGACGTGCGATATTTGACGACAAGACCTAGGAAAGCCTCACAATGTGCAGGCTTCTCAAACTCTCCCACTCTTGATGCTATTGTTGGAATGATTTGGATTGTCAGTGGGAGCCTTCCGACGCGACTCCGATTTAGCTAACCAACAATCCCCTGTTTACTTCAGACCTATATTAGAAAAAGAAGTTTCATTGTCATTGTCAAGTTTCATTTTTCATTGTCCTGAACATCCCGCACATGGGAACGAAATTCATGAAAACTCCGTTTCTGGATGTTAGAGCCGGGTAGACAGCTATTCCATTTCTCAATACATTGAATTACGTCCTACACTGCCAACACTTTTATTAACCAGAAGGGAGCTTTTCTCTGCTGTTTCCAGGATTTGAGGGTACTTATCTGCCAGGTACTTATCCTTCCTGGTATCGTACTGCCAGATACTTATCTTAATATATGATGTATGGTCACCTCTGATTATCATTTATTTCTCCCTCTCGACTTTCTCAGCCTGAAAAAACTTTCCCCGATTTCGATATTTCGGTCTGATATTGGCGAGTTGTCCGCCTGCCAGCCTTTCTAGTTCTGGAATAACAAGAAACAGTAGCGATTACTTATCATGTGCTCACAAAAATGGAAAAAGCACAAGTCCATGCGACCCTTTTTCTAGCTGGATACCTTAAATATTGTTTCCTTGAATACGATGTTTACTGTATTGTTGTCATTCCCTACCCTGATGCACCACTGAAGGTTCTGCACCATCAGACCCAGGCTTGTATTTTCATTCTTGAGACCATGAGACAATGCAATATGTGCCACCCTACCCGATGACAAGTTTACTTTCAGAGAATGGCTGCCATTTCAACGGTGCAAACGAAGACATTACAGGCGATCTTTATGGAGTCAGAAGAGGTGACTGATCACTGATCTATACATTCCATTTCTTTTTCCTTTTGAAATTTCGACGTCTCCTTCAGGTAATACGACAGCTTACGGAGCAAGAAATCGAAGAATTCAAAGAGGCTTTCATGCTATTCGACAAGGATGGAAATGGTACAATGTCCACAAAGGAATTGGGTGTCGCCATGAGATCACTTGGGCAAAATCCTACGGAACAGGTAGGCATGTTGGCAGAGGAACCCTCGATGATTTCTTGAGTTTTTTTTTAAGTGAAAGAACCTATCCTAAGGCGTGCAGGAAAAGGGGTCTGGCCTGATTCTTGTGAGTGTGAAGTTCACTTTGAAACATCTGAACCTTCAACATATGCACACGGAGGCCTCATAGACTCTTCCTGGCTCATTTTGAGTAATGCAACGAGAAGACGATGCCCTCATATCGGACTGACTGCTGTTATGTAGTTTTGTTCCGCCCGTTTAAGGTCTGAGTAGGTTGGAAAAAGATAATAGGAAGATACTCATTGAAGGAAAAAAAAACTGAGGATTGAGAAAAAAGTCAATTTAGGGCAATTATTTGCAATCGAGTTCGTTGCAAAGCATCACAAGCCAGGAACTTTTCTAAGAAACAATTCTCAGCCGATTCTGTTGAAAGTTTTTAGCAATGTTCGACTTTGAACATCCAGAATGTCAGTTTAGTCAGGCCCAAAGAATTTTTTCTAAATGGCCTAGGAAGATCCTCCCAGAAAACTTTCTGGAGAAAAAATGTGTTAATCACGAAAGGGCATTCGCGTAGTAACACCGAAATTCAAATTGGAATGGTGGAAATGTTCGTGAAGAAAGTCGCTTGGCCCCATTTAGCCTCCTTCAGTCCCATATGGGAAAAATCCCGGCGTCCACCTCTGTCGCCAAATCCTAGCTCGCTGTAACAAAACTTCACTCAACAGTCGGAATACGACAAAATCAATTTCTACCGTTAGAGTCACTTACAGGACCTCCGCTTCCCCGAATACCCTGGAAAATACGGTCCTCTTGCTTCCGTAGGTGTTTTGATAAGCTTCACATCAGCGGGGTGCCACACTTCAACGATGGCATTCTTGAGCGCACGGACGTTCACAGGGTGGGTACTATCATTTAGGACATTAAAACTAGTTAAAATCCGACTTGAATGAATGCATTGAACTGCTGTGAAATGAAACTTCCATCTTAATTTCGCTGTAAAAAGGGTAGAAGACCATAATGTATGACAACCTGAAGGCCAGATTACCTTATCATCTTTGANAAAAGGGGTCTGGCCTGATTCTTGTGAGTGTGAAGTTCGTTTGAAACATCTGAACCTTCTACATATGCACACGGAGGCCTCATAGGCTTTTCTTGGCTCATTTTGAGTAATGCAACGAGAAGACGATGCCCTCATATCGGACTGACTGCTGTTATG